TTCAGCTTGTTCTTCAGCTTGTTCTGCAGCTTGTTCTGCAGCTTGTTCTGCAGCTTGTTCTGCAGCTTGTTTTTCAGCTTGTTTTTCGGCTTGTTCTGCAGCTTGTTCTGCAGCTTGTTTTTCAGCTTGTTCTTCAGCTTGTTCTGCAGCTTGTTCTGCAGCTTGTTCTGCAGCTTGTTTTTCAGCTTGTTCTTCAGCTTGTTCTGCAGCTTGTTCTTCAGCTTGCTTGTTCTTTAGCTTGTTCTTCAGCTTGCTTGTTCTGCAGCTTGTTCTGCAGCTTGTTCTATAGCTTGTTCTTCAGCTTGTTCTTCAGCTTGTTCTGCAGCTTGTTCTGCAGCTTGTTCTTCAGCTTGTTCTTCAGCTTGTTCTGCAGCTTGTTCTGCAGCTTGTTCTGCAGCTTCCTACAGTTCTGAGCAGTCTGCAAACCAAGATCATTTTATTTTAGTGAATGTGATGAAAAAAAAATCAAAGTTTTTGTTTCCAGATGTTCTCACTGTGCTTTTCTCAAAGAAAAATAAATACAATTGTAAAAGTTGCTAAAATCTGCCAATTACTTGGTTTCATTAAATTGTCTCAGTGGTTCATGAGATATTTTGCTAACAGAGTGGGCTAAGAGAAGAAGTTAACAGCCAGGTTTTAAACAAACGTTGTGTGTAGAGTTAACAACGTGTTCTCCGAGTGGCTCCATCTAACATCCTTACATGCACATTAGTTTTTGAAAGTTTCATGTAAGTCTGTCCAGATGTTGATAGAAGTTTTGCCAGTACAAACAACTGGTTTTAATAAATATTGGTAGAGTTTTTGAAAACAATCTCACATTTTAATGATATTTTCTGAAAGTAATCATGGGATGTTCATGCACACCGAATGAACCTTTGAAGTCAGTTTAGTTTAAGATGGTTCACACAGATGATCAAACTCCTAAATATCTATAATCATGGTAGAACATGGTATAAAGTTTATTCATTTTAAAAAAGTACAAAACAATTCCATAACAATATAAAAAGATACAAGAGATTTAAAATGAAAGGCAGCAGAAAGAAGAAAAAATCTTATTATATCTGCCCCTTTTTACAAACAATTATTTCAGACATAATAATTTTCAAGTAACAGAACAAAATGAATAACTCTTTCTAATTTTTCTAATTCTAATACAAAACACACACTAAGCTACTTCATATATTTTTTTTTAACAATTCAGTTTTGATCTTTTTCTTAAATGTACACATTGACTTGACATTTTTCACATCACTCTCTAGACCATCCCACAATCCAACTCCTTGGATTGAGGTAGACCTTCCCTTCAGACTAGTTCTGAATTTTGGTTTGACAAATATCTCTATCCCCTTAAGATTATAACAACTTTGTCTTTTAACAACATTTCTTTGGATATTTAATGGTAATGTGTTATTTTGAGCCCTATACATAACTGATAAAATACTATAATCTACCAAATCATGGAACTTCAATAACTTCAGTTGATAAAATAATGTGCTTGATGGGTGACTGTAATGCTTTCTGGTGATAATTCTTACAGCTCTTTTCTGTAAAATAAAAATAGGTTTTGTAAATGTTTTACACACTTTCCCCCAAACATCAATGCAATAGATTAAATGTGGGACAATGATTGTGTTATACAACATGTACAGAGCTTTATCATTTAATAATTCCCTGACTTTGTATAGTACTGCAATAGATTTAGATATTTTTGTTCTTACAGAATTGATGTGATTTTTCCATGTTAGCTGTTCATCAATGATTACACCCAAAAATTTCATCTCATTAACTCTACAAATCTCAACACCCTCAATTTTAAATGGATCATCAACAGTTCTCTTTTTGTTACTAAATATCATGTATTTAGTTTTACCTAAATTTAATGATAATTTATTAAGTTTAAACCAGGTTTGTATTTTATCAAATTCTGTCTTCATCAATTCCAACATCCGTTTTACATCTTTACCCAAACAGAAAAATGTGGTGTCATCTGCAAAAAGGACACATTTGAGGAGTCCTGATACATTCACTAAGTCATTCACATGTAAAATAAATAACTTTGGTCCAAGTACAGAGCCTTGAGGAACTCCACAAGTGATATTGCACAGGTCAGATCTTATACCATTTATTTGTACAAACTGTTTCCTATCTTTCAAATAGCTAGATACCCAGTGTAATGCTGGTCCTCTTATACCATATTTATTTAATTTTTCAAGGAGAATAGTGTGGTCAATAGTATCGAATGCTTTTTTTAAATCAACAAAAATACTAACACAATACTGTTTTTGATCGACAGCAGTAGTTATTTGTTCCATTATTTCCATGAGAGCCATTGATGTAGAGTTTTTTGCTCTAAACCCATACTGACTGCTACTTAGAACGTTTTGTTTAGTAATAAATTTATCTAATCTGGTCACAAATAGTTTTTCTAGAATTTTTGAGAACTGTGGTAATAAGGATATTGGTCTATAATTATTGAACACACATTTATCACCATTTTTAAAGAGAGGAACTACCTTAGCTACTTTCATATTGTCTGGAAATATTCCTTTTGAAAATGATAAATTACAAATATATGTAAACGGCTCGATAACATAACTCATTATGTCCTTTACAAACATCATATCCATGTCCACCCAGTCTTTTGATCTCTTATCTGTAAGATTTTTTACAACATTCATTATTTCTTCTTTGTCAGTTCCATTAAGAAAAATACTGTTGTCACAACTTATAACTGAATGGTTCACATTATTGTCTACTTTTGGTATTTTAGCTGCAAGGCTTGATCCAACGTTCACAAAATGATGATTAAATCCATTTACAATTTCATTTTCATCATGGATTTCATCGTCATCCTTCAAAAAATATTGTGAAATACCTGTTTTTGCTTTATGACTTTTCAGAACACTATTTATTACTCACCATGTAGCTTTCATATCACCATTACTTTTATTTAATAAATCACTATAATATTCCTTCTTGTGTTTCCTTATAATCGCTACTAATTTATTTTTATACTTCTTATATTTCTCTTCAGCCTCTTGTGTTCTCAATTTCAAGAAACATGTATACAAATAATTCTTTTTTTTACAAGCATTTCTCAACCCTTTCGTCATCCATGGTTGGTCAGCAACATTTCTCTTTGTACAATTATTTTGCACACAATTCTTTTCATACAGAGCTCCTAAAATATTCATAAACTCATCGTATGATCTGTTCACATCATCAACATACACTTCTTTCCAGCTTTGTTTATGTAAATCATCTTTTAATTTGTCCATTGCTTTTTTTGATGTGTTTATTGTTTTTTCTTAATTGTGATTTCTTTTGTAATGCTTTGATCATTTTTATAAATCATGAAAATCATCATCAGTCAGTTCAACTAATTTTGCAACAACATCACATGAGATGTCCTGATGCATGCTCAATAATCCAGGTAGAAAAATCTAAAACAGTTCAGTCTGGTCCTCTGGACATTCAAAAAACAAAACAAAAAAAATGTAGAAACGTTTCGTCTCTCATCCAGAAGACTTCCTCAGTCTGAGGTGCTGTATTCAGCGCCGTTTTATAAATATCACCTTCTTGTTGTGGATCAACCAGTTTGCTGCTGACAACCAAAACCAGACCATGTGAGCAGCTGGTTCTGGTTGTCAGCAGCAAACTGGTTGATCCACACTGTAGTGAACTTGACCTGATGTCAAAACTTGACCTTAGGAGCATATGGTCAGAAACTGTCATTTCATTGATTTGCATCCAGAGATACA